TCACGTCAGAATCACAGGCTTTGGAGGAGAGAGATGGGAAAAAACAGGGAAGGTTTGAAATGTAGTCTCTATTTGGAGAATTAAATGTTTAATACGTGAAAATGCTGTTTGACCTGGCTGCAGGCTGGACGTGACTCAACTTCAGTGGAAACTCCAACAGCTTCTTGTCTTTTTTCTGTGCTTCCTGAAGGAGAAGAAGACTCTGTCATTTTTAAATCTTACTAAGATCTGTAATGTCAGCATTTCATTGTCTTGTTGAATGTCATTGACACACACACACACACACACACACACACACACACACACACACACACACACACACACACACACACACACACACACACACACACACACAGGTTACTGACCAGAGCGACAAAGTGTAGCAGGTTCATGCCCGGTTTGTTGGCCTTGGTGTCGGCCAGAGAAAGGAGGGACGACAGCTTGAAACCAACTGCGTTTCCTGCATAACCTCCCTGCAACCCACACAACACACACACACACACACACACACACACACACAGAGAACACTGTCATGATTTCGGGTCTACTTTACTTATAAGATTGAGGGCTTTAAATTTGAGTCTTAATACATTTTTGCTGATTTTACAAATGTACCCCGCTTCTTTAAAACTTAACCTCTTCGGTTGGTCATTAAAGTCATGCCAGGCAGCCAAACATTGATACATTATTGGAAATTATAGTGGAGATGATGAAGTTTCCAAAGATACCAAACATGTCAGGCTGAGTTTTGGGAAATTACTGCAAAAGACGGACACATGGAGAATTTAAATTTGCTGGAATAAAGTGGCCATAAAGAACATGGGATCAGGTTTCAATATTTCACTCAGTTTAAACATCATAGCTTTAAAGAGGAGTGTAATGATAATGCCAGACAGTAAGAAATTAACTGAACAGTTTGTAGTCTAGCTTGCTACATCCTCCCTCTTTGTTCTTTGTCTAATTATTCATTAATGCAGTTTTTTCACTCACAGCATTCAGGATGTTTCCAGCCTGCAGCACCAAGTGGAGAACAGCATGGAGCTCCTCACAACACATTAACTCTGGAGGAGAAAGAAGATCCATTTTTATTTGCATCAATACACAAAGGATAGACAAACAAACAAACATCACCGGCTTAAAATCATCACGTGGAAGAAGATTAAAGAGAATGAAGAGACAGTGAGGAAAAAACAGAGACATAAACATATAAATAAAGTGGAAAACATCTTCACGCACACAATAAAATAAAGACAACGAGGAGCTTATAATCCTAAAATCCTTTCGTGCAGCAGACAGTGTCAGAGTGTGGAGGGTTAGTTAACAATTGACACACACGGCTAAAAATAGTCCAGGTGTTAGTTTGTATTGTGAGAGAGTGTGAGGCTGTTTGATTAAGTGTCGTATGAAGTTGATGCATTAATCATTTATAGCAAATATGTAGACAAATACAACAAAACAAACTCTTGAACGCTGCTTTTTAAAGCATCAGGATCATGTTATTCTAAATTTTCTTATTGTACAGTACAGTAATTTACATTTCTATTACACTTCACTGTTTTGTCTGTGTGCACTGTCTTTAGGTTTGACTGTCTGATGGAGTGCACAGGGTGATACTTTGTTCTCTTTGTATCTAGTGTGAAATTGATTGAACGTCCGGTTCCCAACAGGTGTGAAGTGCTATCTTTTAGTTCTCAGCAGACAGAGGCTGAGAAAGAAACTCCCTAAGGAAGCGACAGAGATAGGAGTTCTGAATGGACAATTTGCGGCAGAAGGAATGTGTACGTGGGATTGAGTCAAAAGAAACTATGAATGTGTGTGTTCTGAAGGAACTGAAGGAACAAGTGCAACAGTGAGGCTCATTTATGTAGTTTTAATAGTTTTGGACAACAATGGAGCTCTATGGCTCAGAGGAAGAAGATATATCAGGCTTTCATACACACACTTGTAAGTGGATACGTTCAGCGTTGGTTTTGGTGTCGACAGTAAGAAACACGGAAGAGAAAACAGGAGCTGTTGTTACCTTTAGTGGCGGAGCGAAGGACGTTAATGTCTCGTTTCATGGCCTCACACACCCCAGGAAACTCCTCTTTCAACAGCATGCACTCGATCCGGACTGAGTAGCTGGAGAGAAAAATAAAGGACTTAGTTATCTGTTTATTATTTTCTCCTCCGTATTTTTTTTTCATCTTATTTCCTCCCTTCTTTGCTATTCATGTACACATGTAACGGTGTATTAAGTAAAACCATGACTGTAAACCAAAGTGCATGTTAGACGTTGCTGTTAGTCACTGATGTTTCTCCATATTAAAAGCCCATTTGCCATCAGCCCTAAAGCTTCACGTCCCATCTGCTGTTACCCGAAGCCCTGAAAGCTTAAGCTCCATTTGTTCTGGAAGAAGAGCCTCTTCAGTCTCTTTTATGTCTTTATTCTTTATTAAGATCCCCGTTAGCTTTCATACAATGGCAGGGACTCACATGAAAACACCAATTTGAAAAAATCACACTGTGTTATTGGAAGGATAAAGACGTGACTGATTTCACAAATAAAAGGGCAAACATTAAAAGACTCAAAAACAAAAACAACCTCTCCTTAAACTAATGCTTGAACTGGAATACAAAGGAGCACATGCAGCATTTGGGGGCGGTCGCTGTTTGGAATAATTACTAAACACTTGATCAAACAATGTCCGCCCACTCTCGCAGGCCACTTCAAACGTTATTCTTTACTTGTCCACCAGATGCCCTCAGAGTTTGTTCTCCAGCCGTTACAGATCCTGCCGCTCCCATCTGCCCTGCTGTCACCTCCTTCACCTCACCTGGCCTTCCCAACCCCCGCCTCACCTGCGTCTCATTACCTCATCAGCAGCTCTCTACACATACCGGCCAAGATCCTTTGTTCCTCTGTCACTTTGTCCTAGTTGCTATGCTGTTGTCTTGCCCTGTGTTTTTTTGCTTTTGAGTTTCTGTCACCTGAACCTGCCTGTAAGCTATTCTCATCAAATTAACCACTAAGTCATCCTGCTGCCTCTATATGAATTAGGATCCTTCCCCTGTTGCCACTTTTTGGATACATACAGATCGGCCAGGCTATTCCTATATTAGCTTATTGCAGAGAAACTGCATCTGTGTTGACTGATAGGTAACAAGAAATTGCAGTAGAGGAAAGTCACAGATAAAGAATTAAATTTGTCCATCAGAGAGCACTGATGATGGCTTACGAGACCAGACGATAGGCTACGTGATAGTGTGTTCACAAGAATGAGACGAGATGATATTTTAAAACTATTTTTATGAAATCTTCAATGACGAATATATGATTGTCTTTTATTTCACTGTCACTCTGTCGCCGTTTATTGTTTCTACCTGGTACGCAAAATACTGCCAAACGATTAGATTAAATAGTGCCATCTTCTATGGTAATTTCTTCCTCCAGCACATTCTCATTCCCAACGCGTCACATATTGACACCTGGTCAAGACCCCTTGGCATTGCTTTTTAACGCCCTGGGTACCATTTTAGCATTGTTTTTGGACGTGTAGGGTTCCGTGGTCAAGTTAAACCTACCTTTGGTGTTCATAAACAACGCTGCAGGGTTTCCACACTGTGTTGAACTATGACACTAACTGGCTCCCCAGTGCGCTACAAACTGATGCCAACAGGTCTTGACCATGTATCCATATGTGATGACTGGCAGCGAGAACCAAGCCAGGAGAGAAGGAACTAGGAAATATGTTTTTAGAGGCATGAGATGTCCTTGAACAGCTTCACATGTGACTGAATAGAAATGACGATAAATTATGTAAAACGTGTTTCTTGCAAACAGACTCTCTGACTCTCTCTGACTTTACTTGTCTCCATAATAAAAGTTGAGGGGGGAAATAAAAGAAAAAGAAAATCTTTCTAATAAATGAAGAAATGTGTGTGGGGATTTTGTTGATCTGGCCTACAATGAACACATATTTTAACTAGCCAGTGAATAATAAAAGAAATCAAATATAAGACTTTGCAGTGATCCACTTGAGTTTAATGTTATCAGATCAGTCCGCTACACAATAGGAGCTAAACTACTTAAAATCAAAAACACACACAAACACACAGAAAAAATAAAAAAAATGTATTATGGCGCCTCACCTGGGAAGCTGAATCAGCAGGTACACAAAGGAATCAGCCAATGGGAGCTTAGAGACGTCGCCTCGGAACGCCTTCAGCTTCTTCACCTTTACGAGAGGAAACAGATGATGAAGAAGAAGAAACTAACATGATGGTGTTAATGTGTGTGTGTGTGTGTGTGTGTGTGTGTGTGTGTCACCTCCTCCTCCTCAGGCAGCAGTTTCAGCAGGTCTTTCAGAGGCTCCACCCCATAAGGTTCACTGTTGCCATGACGAATATCATCTACTATCGCCTGATTGGCCCTGGAGGAGCAAGATATTTTACATTTAGTAAACAGTGGGCCTAATACATTTCGTACCAGATAAATTGATAAGTCAATTAACAGAGAGCTAATAATCACTGAATACTGTAATAACTGATTCATTGCTTAGGTCAAGGTTGTTTTGCGTCTCTCTCTGGTTGATTTGTGTCCCTTTGTGTTCTTTTGTTGCATTTTTTGCATCTCTTTGTGGTTGTTTTGCATCCCCCGGGGGTATTTAGCATCTCTGCATTTTTTCTGTATCTTTGTGGCACTTTTGCTTCTCTTATATTATCATGGCTATATTAAATATAAGATGTGATATTCATTTTGGCAAATATATATTTCAACAATCATGATGGACGTCCTCTAATTTGACTTGGAACCAGTCACATGCTCTGTCTGCACTCCACAACATGCCAGCATCACCACATCTGTTTACCCATAACACCCCAGGATGAGGGCGAGGGCACACATCACGCCATCACACGCCAACACCCTGTCTGTCACACTGTAGCAGAGATATTCAAGTCTACTGGAAGCGTGTTCAATCCTTTAACATGTAAACTCCTGTCCATAACTGTGTGTGTGCCGTATGTTCGTCAATGCCTTGCAGCGACTCGCAGCCCGGATTAACTGATCCAATCAGATCGATCACCAACACAGGTATTAACCAGTGTCGGCCCAAGAGCGGCGTACCTGTTCATGACCTTTTTATTTTTCTCTTGTGGCAATTAGCATGTGAACTTTTGTTTGTTTTTTATCATTTTTATCTGACTTTTAGACTTTTTTTTATCTGATTTAAGGTCTTAGGTTAATTAACGGTTAGGTGTTTGAGAGACAACTGGTCTGGTTAGGTTAAGGGTTAGTTGTCCTGGATCATATATTACCGTCTCACTGATATCTAAAGGAACACAGATCAAAACCACAGCGCTGTTTTCACACTGAACGCAGATATTTTGGTTTTTTTTGGCGGGGATTTTATACATTTTTGAAATATTTGTTGAAAAACATTTTGCGCTGCTTCAGGCAACAATGGAACATGTGAGTGTTTGTGGTCAGAGTCACAAAACGAGATTTACCTCTTGAACTGTTTGAGGAAAATCCCAATGTTCATCCCTCGCTTAGAGTCTAGAATGGAGACCTGGTAGAGAAACATAGACAGACACAGGGAGAGAGAGAGAGAGAGAGAGAGGGGTGAGCAGGATTGAGGACAGAGCTCAGGTGGAAAGTGTCCACACACACCTTGACCTACTCCAAACCTTCAACAAACAGCAGCACACGCCAACCTGCATCATACACACACACACACACACACACACACACCTCATCTTTGGCCTCTCTGAACGAGCTCCTGGTCTTCCCTCCCCTGGTAGGTGTGGCCTTGGCGTTTGATTGACAGTCGTTCTGACCAAAAAGCTCCTCGATGGTTTGGACGTCGATCTGGTACTGCTGCTGCACTCGACCCTGAGTCCACAGGTTGGCCCGCCCCTTCACCTGCAACACACACACACACGTAAATACAGTGCTTTAATATAACATAATATAAAAAATGAGACTAGATCTATGCTGAGCGGTGACTCTACCTGATCCTCTGGTATCGTTTTCCAAAAGAAACTCCTCACCCTCTTCTTCTTCCTCAGGCCTCCTCCTACAGGGTCTCCCAGCCCAGGAAACACGGGCAGCTGGGGAGGAGGAGGAGGAGGAGGAAGAGGAGGAGGAAGAAGAGGGGGAGGTGGTTTTGTCCCGTTGCTCTCAATATCAGAAAATCCTAATGGAGGATGAGGAGGAGGAGGATGAGACGTTGGCACGCCGATGGCCACGCCCTCGAAACGTTCATTGACTCGGGAGACGCTGCCCATCACATGGATCCCCTCGGCCAGTTGGACGGGAGCAGAGAGAAGAGGCGGAGGGTTTGGCGGCAGACAGATCGGTCACCAAGCGGATGGGTGACCATGGCAAGCGGCGTGGTGACGATGATGAAGATGATGAAGATGATGAAGATGCTTCAGGAACATCAGAGATCGTTGAAGAATCAAACGGCAGAAAGTGAGAGAGCTGAAGAGAAATTTAAAAGACATTTACTGAGAGAAACACCAGACATTTTGGTAAACATATTTGTGTAAATATGAAGGACAGCCAGACACCTGTTAGCTTAGCTTAGCATAAAGACTGAAAACAGGGGGAAGCAGGTAGTCTGGCTTTGTCTGAGGGGAACAAAATCCACCCACCCTCATTAATACAATTATACTAAAATTATTAATAAAATGATTCACATCAGATGTTTCTTCATTTTCGACACATCCATTTATGAAGCCAATAAGAGAAGTTTTTATTTTGATATTTAAAATGTCTAAATACAAACAAATCAAACAAAGAATATGTATTGCTATAAGCAATATCCTCTTTCTGTTTGCATTTACTGCGTCCTAATTAAATGAAGAACATTTAGCCTTTTGCCTCTGATAACTGAAATGTTTTTGAATGTGACATGATGACACAAAATGCAAAGCATGCTGTCATTTGTCTCCGTGAGGAGGTGCACAGCAGTTTTTTTCTTTATGGGGATGGAGACACCAATGCCAAAATGAAATACAATCAACTGTCCAATCACAGCACACGCTCACGGGCCGTAAGGCAAGTACTCAAAGGTCCGCAAGGGTCCGATGTTCCAAATTTTATCGGACCAAATTGATCGAATTCTGATTTTTGCGGCGCTAAAAAAGAGTTCCACCGTTCTACATTGCTGCAACATGTAGTTACATTTTTGGGGAGGTTCCCGTCAGGCTACACCATAGATTCAATGCAGAAGTACAACTTTGGCCTTTAGTGTTGCTGATGGTACCCATAGCTGCGTTTCGACCAATGGAGCTATACCCCTGAACTAGGAACCTATGGAGGAACTCACTGTGTTTCCACCGAAGGTGGGTCTTTATTTCACCCCCCAAAAAGGCCCTGCTCGGGAGGTAGTACTTTCCGAAAATACCGGTACTTTGGGGGGGTGTGGCCTGAAATTCTGAAAGGGCGAGTAGAGGCTATTTGATATAACTGGAGAATGTCGGGTATTTTTCCTACACTTGCTCCTCTCTTTTCCACCATTATTTGCCAACCAATAAATCACAATCAACAGTCAAATAGCACACATGTTGCCGGAGATCGTACGTCGACATTGTTTTGCAGTAGCCAGCGTGCAGCGGTGTGTTTACAGCTATACAGTTATGCAAAATAATGGGTTTGAAGTTGTTGTTTTAAGTTTTCATGAGTCAGGAAGTTTCGGTCTCTTCTCCAAAACAAGCGGAGCAGCTGATTACAGCGGGTAATTAAAGTTTGTTAAACATCCCGTTCCTCCGACATTCAGGCGGACACAGACGAGTGCTGCAGTTGTTGCGATTTTATTTTTGTGTTGCTTTCTCTGTGCTGGAGTTATTTTAGGAACTTGGTGGTTTTATCCAGTTTGTTATTAAATGTGGAACAAACTTTATCGTGTGTCTCTCCACTATACTTCCGCACAAAAAATTTTCATTTATAAATGTTGCTCATGGATAGTGGTTACAAATAATGATGCCTGTGAATCGCTTTGTACGGCGTATAGGCCTACAGCCTATGTCAGCTAAGGACCTAATCTTCGCAGGTCTTTAGACCACAAAAGTGGGCTGAAGGAACCTTATATTTCCTTGAAAAGAGATCCGGGGACTTAAAAGTCAGACAGCCTTTCACAGTAAAACTGCTTCCTGTAGCTTCCTGTAGGCACTTGCTTAGGCATTTCAATATGTGAGAGCTGGATGAAAGGATTCAATATGATTACGTCCTCACTTTATACCTGAGCTAAATTCAGCTGCTGCAGAAACAAAAACACAAAAATAACATCCATCAAAAGTAAATTTATGGAGCTTCTGACCTCTTTAATATGCAGAGAGTAACCTGATTTTAATTTTGTTGCACTTTGAAAACTTTTTCCAGGACACTCAGCTACCATCAACCTCATTATGGGTAAAGATTATTGAGCCATATTGCAGATTATATTGATCATCTAGTTAGAGGAATCAGAGGAGAAACTGTGTTGTTCAGCTAAATGTACACTGAGACTCCTGCAGAGAGAGGAATGACTGAATGAAAAATCCAGTTGGTACGCCGCCATGTTGGACTCACTGTTTTTATTCATTCTGATTCAAGAGTGTGTGCGAATGTGTGGGTCTCGATTTCAAATGTCTTGTGATTAAATGAATGTTAATTAAACATTCGTAACTTTACGTTACATGTTAAACATTTACTTTTGTCTCATGTGCTGTTTCTTTTCTCCACTGAAACTTGATGTGTTTGTTGATCGAACAGCTCTTCTTCATCATCATCCTCACACACACACACACACTTCCTTGTGCTCTCAAACACCACGAGTCTCACCTGAATGTGAAACCACCAGCTGTTCAAAGGTGTTTCTGTCTGTACGGTGGCAGGATGTCAGTTTTGAGCTACTTAAGCAAAGCTGCAGGAAAAGGGTGGAGAACATTCACTGTTCAGGGTTTATCTTTGAAAATGTAAAACCCTGAAATAATAAAATCCTAAAACATATACAGTGAGGAAAATAAGTATTTGAACACCCTGCTATTTTGCAAGTTCTCCCACTTTGAAATCATGGAGGGGTCTGAAATTGTCATCGTAGGTGCATGTCCACTGTGAGAGACATAATCTAAAAAACAAAATCCAGAAATCACAATGTATAATTTTTTAACTATTTATTTGTATGATACAGCTGCAAATAAGTATTTGAACACCTGAGAAAGTCAATGTTAATATTTGGTACAGTAGCCTTTTTTTGCAGTTACAGAGCTCAAATGTTTCCTGTAGTTTTTCACCAGGTTTGCACACACTGCAGGAGGGATTTTGGCCCACTCCTCCACACAGATCTTCTCTAGATCAGTCAGGTTTCTGGGCTGTCGCTGAGAAACATGGAGTTCAAGCTCCCTCCAAAGATTCTCTATTGGGTTTAGGTCTGGAGACTGGCTAGGCCACGCCAGAACCTTGATACGCTTCTTACAGAGCCACTCTTTGGTTATCCTGGCTGTGTGCTTCGGGTCATTGTCATGTTGGAAGACCCAGCCTCGACCCATCTTCAATGCTCTAACTGAGGGAAGGAGGTTGTTCCCCAAAATCTCGCAATACACGGCCCCGGCCATCCTCTCCTTAATACAGTGCAGTCGCCCTGTCCCATGTGCAGAAAGACACCCCCAAAGCATGATGCTACCACCCCCATGCTTCACAGTAGGGATGGTGTTCTTGGGATGGTACTCATCATTCTTCTTCCTCCAAACATGGTTAGTGGAATTATGACCAAAAAGTTCTATTTTGGTCTCATCTGACCACATGACTTTCTCCCATGACTCCTCTGGATCATCCAAATGGTCATTGGCAAACTGAAGACGGGCCTTGACATGTGCTGGTTTAAGCAGGGGAACCTTCCGTGCCATGCGTGATTTAAAACCATGACGTCTTAGTGTATTACCAACAGTAACCTTGGAAACGGTGGTCCCAGCTCTTTTCAGGTCATTGACCAGCTCCTCCCGTGTAGTTCTGGGCTGATTTCTCACCTTTCTTAGGATCATTGAGACCCCACGAGGTGAGATCTTGCATGGAGCCCCAGTCCGAGGGAGATTGACAGTCATGTTTAGCTTCTTCCATTTTCTAATGATTGCTCCAACAGTGGACCTTTTTTCACCAAGCTGCTTGGCAATTTCCCCGTAGCCCTTTCCAGCCTTGTGGAGGTGTACAATTTTGTTCTGATTGGCTAGTAGTCCTTAACTAGAAACTGCGCATGTGCTCCCAACAAAGATCATTTAGAGACAAGATGTATCACTCCATAAAATGAAGATCACAGGGTGAAAAGGAGCTGCAGCAATGTGCAGTATGAAAATAAATGGTGTTTTTTGAAAATTAAACCATGTAAACCTGTTCTCGTACAAGCTCTAAATAAAATTTTGGACCTGAAAATGAGCATATGACCTCTTTAAGTCTTACAAAGTCCCATTGAGCCTGCTTCTTGCCTTTAGCTCTGTCAGCTAATATTTACTACTAATGATGCTTCTGCAGATATTTTTACTGTCCCTTTTAATGTTCTCACAATAATAACAACATTTAAAGTAACCTTCCTCCGAATAACTACATGTCAGCTTCGTTTATGCCACTCTACAGGAAAAGACTTGTACCAGGAAGTCCATATCTGGCTCACGTGGAATTTGAACTAAATTCCTGCAATGCTAAATTATTTAACGCACACACACACACACACACACACACACACACACGCAGTCACAGTGTGAGTCCCCCGTGTGAAGTTCTGGATACATGTCAACAAAGATATACACTTCCTGCTGATGAATTAAAGATGAGGGTGTGTGTGTGTGTAAGAGTGTTACATAACTTAATCTCACATCCCTGTTTGATCGACTGATTTCTTCCGTCAAACTTTCAACTTAATCATACTAACAATGTGTGTGTGCCTGTCTGCCTGTGTGTGTGTGTGTGTGTGTGTGTGTGTGTGTGTGTGTGTGTGTGCAGTAGTTGGTTGCAGTTACAGTATACGTTTGTCCCGTCCTGGTCCTGACCTGATTACTGCTGATTCATTTATTTACTCGAACTCTAACACTAAAAACAGTTTTACTTCTTGTTTAACAAAAAGTACAGGCAGGGCTGAACATTTTAAAGGTAACATAATCACATGTATTTTGCATTTTACAAGACAAACATCTTTAATAGAGCTGCAGTGATTAACCCCAATGTTGAATATTTTATTTATATATATATATATGTATGTATATGTTTACATTATTGATCCTAATAAGCATTCAATTGAAGATCCTCCTTTCACCTTGCAAATGAAAGTGATAAACTAAAAAAACAGATTTAGCCCTTTATGCTGTCTCTTTTTTTACTCTTTAAATACATACTAATTACTCTCTTTATGGTTTACAAAAACAACTGCGCAAGCTATGGGAATCATCTCAAAAACTATCCGTCTTTCAATTATAATTAAATATTATTTGGTGACTTTGTTGAGCTGAATT